AGATTTGAGAGTGCACAGGACACAGTTTGAGTGAGAGGAGAGACACGTTTTAAGTGCGGTTTTGTGCGAGAGCGGAGAGATTCGCACTCGCGCATTATATTAATGTGCTTTCGCGCTACAATAATGCGCTCTCGACATTTGTCATTAAAATAACTCCATATCTTTCACTAATGTGCAGTGTGTAAATGAGCATATGTGGTTTGACGCTGTAGCTTTTCTGTTCGCAGGACGGCTCGGGCTCGCTGAAGCGCAGTGGTTCCTTTAGTAAACTGCGGGCCTCTATCCGGCGCAGCAGTGAGAAACTGGTCCGCAAGCTCAAAGGAGGCAGCTTACGAGAAAACGAACCCAAAAACCCGGGGTAACTATCACCACTTCCCTCCCTATTCTCAGACCAAACCTCCCCTTTCCAATATCCCAAAACCTTCCCACTACGGACTAAACAATGGCTGGCAGGCGTGCGTGACACTGACCATTAAACCTCCAACACAACATACACTGGAATAGCAGACTGACTTGTGGTTTAAAAACTGGGGAAGGGAAATGCTCAGTCAGACTTTTGGGAAGACAGTGTTCAGATTTTTTGATTAGAGTTTTAACTAAACTCTGAAGTAGATCTCAAAGAGCTTTAGGATCCTAGAGGGACAGAATGATCTGTATCACCAGATATCTGTCTGGAATTATGTCATTAGGCTTTCTAAAGGGTCATTGGGACTGTAAATATGGAAAGGCTGAAGCGAATTAAGGTGAATGTCCGAATCTGAATTATTCTTTTAACACTGGATGACACCAAAAAAAATTATTTTTCCCATCTCAAAGTTTTTAAAAGGGATTTATAGAATTATCTCTTTAATGTGTGGGGAGGTTTACTACATGGAGATGGGATTTTGCACATTGTGATGACATTATATTGAAGGAAAGTCCTCGGCCGGTATATGCGAAGTTCTCTCTCACCCAGTTTTAAGTGGGTGAAGGGATTTGCTTGCTTTATTAACTGGGCTATTTTTTGCACATGTACAAACCTGCGTAACCCTGAATTGACATCTAACGTGACAGGTGACATTGTGATGCAGTGTGTTGAGGTCAACGCACCTGTGTCTGTTACTGGGGTTCCTGTAGCATCTGATTTGCCAGATGTGACTAACTTTCTCTCCTTACCCTGTAAAATGCAATTTATGTTTTTATTTATTCCTTGCATTTTAACTTTATTTTCTGGCCAGTGTTATGATTATTTTATGCCTTTTTGCTTGGTGACTTTTCTCGATGCCTTTTCATGTCTGCTTGGATCTGTTTTTTTTATTTGAGGACTTTTATTTCTCTGTGCTGTGTTGTACATTTGTTTCATTTTGAATAAACATTTCCATGCAAATGTGCTGTCTGCTGCATGCCTGTTTCCTCCATTTTCTGTCTTGTGGTCTCATTTGCTGTGTTACCCAAATTTTTTTAACCTCTCTTCTCATCTTATACCTTTTGTCTACCAACACCCTGGCAAAGGTCTTCTTTTTATTGTTTGAAATTCCCTTTACAAGTGACCCTTTTTGCAGGCTGTGACACGTTCCCACTGTTGTTAATATAGTAAATGTAGAATTTTTTATATTTTCATTTTTTAAAGGAATGTACATTTGTAACACTATACTTTGGGTAATATTACCTTCTGACCACCATGATATCTCAATATTTTTTTTCCTATCATGGATTTTATTTCGTTTATTTATTTCGCTATTTGAGCAAAGAGAAAGGCAAAAAAAAAAATTTTTATTTTAGTCTCCAGTTCACTGTACGTATAGAAATGTAGCCAATTATGACAAATTCTGCATCTGAGAATCTTGAAAATGTGAAAACAGTCCATCGCAGATCCTGTTTCGTGTCTGTTTAGTATATAATTTTGTGCAGTGTTATTAAAAACCATTTTTTTCAGTCCTAAAGGAATAGTTTACCAAGAAATGAACGTTCTGCTATCATATAATGACCCTCATGTCTTTTCAAACAGGAATGATTTTATTACCTGTCGATCTCCAGAAAGGACAAGAAAACAGCATAAAAAAAAACTAAAAGTGGCCCAATCAACAACTATATATATATATATGTATATAAGACTATTTTAAAATAATTTTGCATCCTTCATATTCAAACTAGCATGTCATGCTTGGTTATATATATCCGAAAACCAATGGCATTTTGACATCAACAATGTCAAACTTGGTGTAATACATTTACATGCAATTTATTAATTTGTTTGTGAAAAATAGAAACATAGAACGTGCTTGAAACAACATGGGGGTGAGTAAATAGACACATTTGACATAATAATAAGTGACAAATCAGAGGATAAACAGAGGATTGAATTGTAATATCTCAGCCATAATGTTAGCACTGGACATTTAAACATATTTTTTTGTTCTCTATAAAAATATTTATTTGTGAGTAATGGGAGATTTGTCAAACTAAATGGCGAATGACTAATATAACACAGTATGTCATTGCATGTGTTTCCACTGTGCTTTTTTTATCTCATTTCATATTGTAAGGTAACATCATTGAGTGAAAGTTGCATTAACATGTTTTAACCCACACATTCCCATCCCACAAACCCCACCGTGACCCCTCACCCCTGGCCTTTGACCTAACTGACGTGCTTGCATGTGGCTCTCTCGGAAGCAGCATGAAGAGGGCCAGCTCTCTTGGAGTTCTCAACGAGCCGGATAAACCTGTGGCTGAACTCAAAGTAAGACAACTTCCTTCACTGCTCTCTGCTGACAGCTTTCTCTTCAGTTTCTCACTCAATCTGCTCTTGTCTCCATATTGAATATATTTGTTCATTTCGGTCTCACACAGTACCTCCTGCTCTCTTTGTTTTGTTTTTCTGGCCCATCTGTCACTTTACAGTCTTTCAGTCTCATACTCTTTGTTTTTGGGGGCATCTATTATCAACACATCCACAGCTCTATCATTTACCATATTAACACACATTAATGAAATGAATGTGTGAGATCTCACAGAAGTCACAGACTAACACATTTAGTTTGCTAAAATCCTTCGTAACCACTGATGGTCTTGGGTTACAAAATAAGCATTTTGTTAGGAAACAATCCTAAAGTTGATGCATTGTTTAGTGCATTTATAATGTCTAAAGAGAAGTGTGTAGGACACTCAACAATAGTATTTCAGATGATCTTTTTCCAATTGTTTGTTCAGTTCTTTGGTCTAAATCTTTCTTTTAAGGATACTATGTAATGAAAAGGTCATTTTTAATATATTTTTGTGAGTCCACGTCTGTTAGCCCTGCAGCTATCTAAATGCTAACATACTCCTAAAAGTTTTATAACATTTTAGCAGTTAAAACGTACAGTCTTTCTTTTTTTGTCCAATAAAATGCTTTCTAGAGCTCTTCCCCCTAAAACATGTTGCCAGCTAGCATTAGCAAGTAGCAAATCATGGTTCGCAGCTGTGTCGTAAACTAAACCTAAGGTCTGAAATGAAGTGAAATGAACTTTATGACTGATAAAAAAAAAAAATATATATATATATATATATATATATTGAATGTGTATAGTACGAATTAAATCTGGACGTTCTACATTCTGTATGTAGTCATTGTCATGTGACTTACGCATTAGTTGCATCACTTCACTGTCATTTGTCGTGTGGCTTTATTATGGTATAGTTAAGTGTCAATTAGACGTGCACTTCAGAATCTCATGTTGCATGCTAGTTTTCACATATTATATAGTATAGGAAGCCCTTTATGTCCCACCCCAATTTCCTGTTTGAAAAAGAAATACTGTAAAAAAAAAATAAATAAAAAAAAAACTCTTCGAATTTCATTGGCTCTGTAAGTACTGCTTGGCCTGTTCTTGTTTCTCTTTGCGGGCTTCTTTCAGGTCACACCCTTCACCCAAATATGGCTACTTCCCTACTGTATAGTATTGATTCTTGGTCTTTTTTGCTCTGATTCCCACAACTCTGTGTCCTGGCAAAATGTCCGCTAATGCAATTTTCAACGTGTTCATTGATAATGGTATTAAATGGTATAAAATGTCAAATAGACTGCAAAACAAAGCTACAGTAGCCTATACAATTTTCTTGTAGTGATTCAGTTTACAAGAAGGTATGATGGATTTTGAGAGTGACATTACCCTGAACTTACTTCAGGATTTATCCGGGTCCATGTATTGTCTCTTTCTTTTCATTTCCATCAGGAACGAAATAATCGTCTAAGGAAGTCGCGAGACCTGAGTTCCAGTCACACTGACCTGGCGCATTGAAGGTCTGCTGTTGGACGTCCCGATGAAGAGAGGTACTAAGAGGTCTCATCATCAGGCTGAAGTGAACTGTGTTTTTGACAGGACTACCTTCTCCAGAGGTTACTTTTGCTCTCGTGTCTCTGTATATGTATTTAATTTCTGGTAAGTTAGCTGTAGAAATGACAACTGATGTAAAAACTCAACCAGAACCAAAGTGCACAACAAATTTGAGATTATGATGAAAATGTCAAAAACCAGAAAATCGATAATGCTATTCATACTCCGGTTGAGACTAGACGCTCTTAATGGCATTTTTGCTGCTTTCATGTGGTTTATTTTTCTTTTGTTTTATTTTGAGATGTACTTTGACGCTTTTTTGAAACCAGCAACTATAGGACTGTTTTTATTAATGAAGGATTATAATGACAGAGGTGTGCATATTTGTGTGTTTATAGACACAAAATTGTTTGGAGGGGTTTTTTTTGTACCACTTTCCCTCTTTGTGACTTAATATTCTGCTATTGATGACTTTAATGTTGTTTATACTTTGAGTTACACTAGAGGACCATGATGCTAAAGTATGGATTCAATCAAACTTATTCCCTCGATAAAGAGAGAACTGCACCGTGTTTATGAAGGTCTACGTTTACATGAGTGATGGTTCAGTGATGCACATTTTCTTATTGCTGTTGAGAAGTGGAAAGGGATCTGGTTTATAATGAAAGAAATAGGAAAATAGTAAAAAAGAAAATAATTTAAAGTGGTTACTGTCGTTGAGATCTATGTGGATTAAATCTCAGGACTGAAAGAACGGATTCATTATGCAAAGTAACTGCACTTTGAACGATCTCAAAGGATAATGTTACACTATCAACCCTTTGCATGTTACAGAACTAAATTGAGGTGATTACTTCAGTTTTAATCGGTTACATTTGGTTTATAGATGCTTTTGGTTGATCTGTAAACTGAATATTACAAGTTTTCATGAACAATAACAACAGGAAGTCTTTCTGTTATTTGTGAGGTAAAGCAACGCTGTTATCTAACATGAGTTATAAGTACTGCTACTCCAGATAAAAATGCACTGGAATATGATTTCTGTTCCCAGATGTTTAACTACAGTACCTGTTTGAAAGCGGTGTGCCTTGTGAGGGCCTCAGGCAGGTTCTTACTAATGACTGTGGAAGTTACTGATTTTGAGTGTGACAGCAGAACAGTTTGAGCTCTGTAAGGTCAAATGTCGGTCACGGTTTTACGAAGTAAATATTAATTTTTAATACTGTGGTCAAATAAAAGCCCACTATATATATCAGTGTATCATGTCATGGATTTATGCTAATATAGTGCACTGCTCAACTGGCCTACTTGACTTTGTTTCTACTTTCTTTGTTCTCTTTATCCATGTAACTCTTTCTATGTAATATATTACTGTCTCATGCAGTAATTAGTTCATCTTGTGTGTACAAGTGTTTTTTCTGTATAAAACGCATATTAATGCTCTGCATTGTGACAATGTGCAATAGGGTAGCTGCTGTGTGTTGGCTGGTTTTGATCTCGCATGCAATGTTTTACTGACAAAAGCTGGAATATCTGCTTGGCTTGTGTTTCGGTTATCTTTGTACTCTAAACGAATAAATATATCATTTACATTTTTGTACATCGAGTATTCAGTAGTTTTATGTCACTAATTTGAGCTTTGTTACACACTTGTGGCACATATGTGCCTTTCACATGTTCAAATTTGATTTTCAGATGGTTTATGTTTTGCGTTTTTGACTGTTGATCAGTTTGTTGTATTTAGCCGTCATTGCGTTTTTTTTTTTAAAACGGGGTTACTGATGTGGCACTCACTCCCAGAGGTCTTTAAAGGCAGAGTAAGCGATTTCTGGTAGCCAATGTTGATATTTGAAATCACCAAAACAAACACGCCCCTACCCCAAAAGGGTCTTGCCCCTATTTTGATAGCTCCGCCCCACATATACGTACGCAACCCAGGCAATGATTAGTTCTGTGAAACAAAGCAAAACCAATGTTACACCATGTCTACGGACGTGAGCGGCGCGGCAAGGAAACTGCTGCCGGGTTTTATTTATGACGTGCTGACACAAATTTCAAATGGTTTTCAACGGTCGTTTGATCGCGTCCAGTGTAGGCAGACTTTAGCTGTTGTAGACACAGTGTTACTCACCTATTGAGAAGAAACAAAGCAACCTCGACGTCCGATCGCAGGCCTCCGCTCCTTGAGTTCTCTCCAGCGCTGGAAAGCTGATCCGATATTTACACGGGTCCTACTTCTTGCCTTATCCTTCCGCAGACGTTTTCCTCTTTTGTTTTTTATCCACCATCTCTATCTCTCTGTCGCTCGGCTCGGCTAATGTCCGTCCCATGCACTCAACGCGCTCTCCTCCACATCACGAGTAGACACGCCCCTTATTGCTGATTGGCTACAAGTTTGCTTTGCTATTCGGCCCGATTTAGTTTTCTAAAGTGTTTTTGAAAAATCACATACCCTGCCTTTAATGCTCAATCCATATGCAATTGCATTGTTTTTGTTTATTTTCTTTACATTTTGTAACCCTAAATTGCTAAATATACACTCGAAAGTTACAATTAATATTACCAAGAGACAATATAGCATAAAAATTAAGGACAAAAAAACTGTATGTAGTATGTAACAGCAGGGACTGTTGTGACCTGTGTGATATAACCCTGACATTTCTTTTTGTGATTGTTGATGTTGCATTTCTACTGTCTGTCTCTGTCTTCTACCATTTGTGTTCATAATGTTTTGTGTCCTGTTGTTATACGTGTGTATATTTGTGTGTATTCAGAACTTCACACTGGACTTGTGTATATTCCATTTTCTCAGGCTGCCGCTGTGCTGGCTACACTTCATTTGCTGCCATGTTTGTGGTGATGTGTGTTGCTCCGAATATCTTATGGTAAAGTGTACATACTTGAATAAAGACAACAGAAGTACTCTACTCCTGTAAGATTTTCTGGGTTCTGGTTCCCCCTGTTGGCGAGTCGAATTGTATTATAACTTTTTCCTGGTCATTCTAAGTATTTTATGTTCTGTGCTCTGTGCTTTTTTATGGGGTGTGTGATGAAATGTATTGATTTATCTTTACAATCTTACCTGGAACACAATGGGGAGGAGAAAATCATTTCTAGCACATGGCAAACAGCTACAGATAGTTGGAAGAGAAACGACTTTAAGGGATAGTTCACCCCAAAATTAAAGTTAGTTACTCTCAGGCTGGCTGTCCAAGATGTGGATGAGTTTCTTCATCAGAACAGATTTGGAGAAATTTAACATTACATCACTTACTGACCAATGGATCCTCTGCAGTGAATGGGTGCCGTCAGAATGAGAGTCCAAACAGCTGATAAATACATCACAAGTAATCCACAAGACTGCAGTACATCGATTAATGCCTTGAGAAGTGAACAGCTGCATGTGTGAAAGAAACAAACCAATCATTATGACACTTACTGGCTAAAATACAAGTCCTCTGTCCATAATATGGCTTTTCCAGTTAAAAAGTTGTCTCCTGAATCAGGAAAGAAATATGCACAGATCCAGCACCATTTACAAGCCAAAACAGTTCTAAACAAATGTGTCATTGGATTTTGATATAAAAGGACAACTGGGCATGGACTTTTTCACTGGAGGAAGCGTTATTATGGATTATGGACTGATATTTAAACTAAGGTTTAAAGTTAAAATGCCTTGATGAATGTTTCTTACAAACAATCAGGTTTTTACTTCACAAGACAATTGATGGACTGGAGTTGTGTGGTTTACTTGTGGGTTATTGTGATGTTTTTATCAGCTGTTTGGACTCTCATTCTGACGGCACCCATTCACTGCAGAGCATCCATTGCTGAGTAAGTGATGTAATGATACATTTCTCAAACTGATCCGATGAACAAACAAGCTCGTCTATATCTTGGATGCTCTGAGGATGAGTACATTTTCAGCAAAATGTATTTTTTGGGTGAACTTTCTTTAAGAGATGTTGGGCCTCATTTATAAAATGTTGCGTATAAACCTTCCTAAATTTGTTCTAAGATCATTTCTCAAAAGTGCGTAAGTGCGATTCAGAGAAAACAAACGTGCGCACGCCTCTCTTCCAGATGTGACATTTATAAATCGCAAATGATCTTGAAATTGTGCGCAGCTGACTCAATACTCAAGTAAATGTACTTAGTTACTGTCCGCCTCTGTAACTTTATCACATTAAAAACTTGTCACTCATGAATCATAACGTATGTCTGCTGTTGAACACTCGTGATAAGTGCGGCTGTCGACGTTTACATCAGCACCAGCGCCTCTGCAGTGTGTGTGTGTGTGTGTGTGTAACGTTATGATGACTGATTGGATGCAGTATACATACTTAGGCTAATTGTTTAACAAAACAAGCCCATGCAATTTATATGTTTGAAAACCGCCAAACTGACCCAAACCAGCCCAAATTTTGTCCACCCGCCCAAGCCAATTTGTACTCGCACAATCAAATTCAAGACCGCCCAATTGGGTGGGAACCCGCCCAATCTGACAACACTGCCTGTCGCCGATCCATCGTGCAATGTGAACACAACAGCAACTGAATGCTACCCCAGATAGTCACGCAGTGTGAAAACAACGGCGATCCGACGACAAATGTGGATGAATGGCTACACATAGATGTGTCCAGAGCTGTGTGAGATCACTATCATCCTGCTTTTGTGGGGGTGGGTAGGGGTGTTAATTTTTTTCCCCATAGGTTTTTAACGTTCTAAAAGCTCTTTATTCCAAAGAATACTACAAGCTAGTCAGTGTATTCAGTAGGTGTAATGTATTCTAAGTTGCTTCAGAAGTATTGCAAGTATTACATATGACAATAAAACTGCATTGACATAAAAAAATAAAATTTACTTTTGGTACTTAAGTACTTTTAAAAGCAAGTACTTCTGTACTTTTACTTAAAAGTCACGTTTTAGAGAAGAAAAAAATCACCTACTGACTTTCAAAGCTGCCACATAGTAACAACTTTCTACTCCGAGGACCTTGATAGAAATGTAGTGGAGTGAAAAGTACAATATTTGTCTTTCAAATGTAGTGAAGTTAAAGTAATAAGTTCCCAGAAAAAATAATACTCAAGTAAAGTACAGATACTCAAAAAGTGTACTTAAGTACAATACTCAAGTAAATGTACTTAGTTACTGTCCGCCTCTGACCAACACACTATTAGATAGATTAAACATAAATGTTCTTTTCTGTAGGCCAGGCCTATATGTTACGATGAAATTAGGTGATGCATGAATTGATATGAATGACATTTTTATTTAACAACTACAATCACAGTATATTGACTGATTTGTTGAACTTCCAACCTTGTAAGCATGTAATAATTATGACAACATAAAGCACTGACAAAT